GCCCTCCCTTTGCCTTCACTGCGTTTAGTGCATCCACTTGCTACCTCTCGTTCTAGAGTAAGATCACAGACTCTCTGGTGCAAGGACCTTTCTTTTGGTTATATATTTGTACAGCGCCTAGCGTGGCAAAACTTGACTGCTATCCCATGTATATAATCATAAAGAATAAGCAAAAATAAGCAACACCAGCAGTCTTTCCTGCCCAAGTGCAGGGGGCTGGACCTGAGGATCTGTAAGGTCCCTTCCAGCCCCTACTATGAAACACCAAGTTAAGAAATTAAGGCAGGTACCTTGACGTCCAGGACCTGTTTGACAAGGCTAGCAATTCTGTTAGGATATGCAGATGCCTTCAGAGCTATTCTAGTGTGCCCAATTCGGACCTTGCTTGCCAAGGCACAAATCCAGCACAAGTCTACGGGAGTCAGTGCATTAGCAACCTATCCTGGTACTTGCTTAGTCTGTTGAGAGCTAATAATGCTCCAGTACTGTAATGTCTGAGCACCAAGTGGACCCACAGGGAAGCTAAGTGATTTGCACAACATCACATAAGTGGGATGAGGGACTGGTCCTGTGGCCCACTGGGGTTTATTGACACCATCTCTGTGTTGAGCATGGCGCAGAGCAGTCCCTGCCCACTTGGTCCCATTTTGTGCGCCCCCAGACATGAGGCGCAGCAGCCAAGTTGACAAAATTAGACTGAAAATTTCGGATTCGTAGTCTTTTTACTTCCTCACTCTTGGCAGGTTGAGGCAACGGCCTTTTGTTGCAGTGTCCGAGCACCGAGTTGCTCAACTTTAGGGTAAGATCAGTGCCTTAAGGATACATGGTTCAGGGTGAGGGCATAAGACAGGAGTCGGGAGAGTGGCACTCTGCCTCCAACTCACTGGATGGCCTTGAAAAGTCATTACACCTCAATTTCCATACCTGTACCATGGATAAACTCATCCTTATGCACCTCACAGGGGTCTTAATACCTCTGTGTCTGTAAAGTGCTTTGGGACCCTTGGATGGAGGCAAGAAGTACTGTTATTTTGCTAAAAGCTGGTCTGCGAGACTTCCCCTAGCCTCTATCTTCCGTAACGTGTCTCCCATGCAGAGAACGATCCCATATTCATTCCAGACCTAATTCAAAACCCCAAGTAACCCCGTGGGCTTCAAGGGGTTTTGAATCTGTAACTGCAAGGGTAATGCTTTCTTAGGCCTTCCAGCCTTCATCACCTCGATGACTCAAAGGAAAAAAAGCTGAGTAAAATCTGTGAGAAAATCCTCCCATTATCATTCTTTTGTGGAGCTGTTGTGTAGTTACATTTTCTGCTAGCCTGAGGTTAATGGCAGCGCACAGCTGCAGAACAGCGTTGCCTCAACTTTCAGAACAATTATTATTGTTGTTAGATTTGCATATCTCATTTGCCTTAAGCTAAACTCATTCTCTACAGATGATTTCCTTACGGACCTGCTTCCCAGTTCCTCTTTGGAAATGCCCCGTTTTGCCAGGCTGTGGAAAGAGCCCCTGGTCCCCTCTGTAAAAGGCCAATTTAAAGGAAACTGCCAGGCTTACAGTAGCACAAAAGATTAATCACAGACAAAATAAAGCTACAGGAAATGTAAAGATCTGCGTTCTTGCACGGGTAAAGATGGGTTTGATCAGATAGTATGCCGGCAAAATGCGCCGAGTCCCTTTTATTAGCAAACCCCATAGCAGATAACAACCAACTATTGCTAGCCAACAACCAACTATTGCTGATGGAGTCAGTCCTTTAGCTCAAAAGGTAAAGCTCTGTGATGAAGGTCCAATGGTCTAATATTGTTGATAACCCACATGGTGTGAAGGGAGGGGGGAAAACCCCCAGATATGACACAAAGACCCGAAAAAAGACTCTGGCTTATAAACAGGTGCATGAATTCAACTACGCTGCCTACAGCGTTCGTGAATGTATAGCTTTAAGGACAATACCTTGTACTTTTGCCTGCAGATCTCCCTGCCCTTCACATGAGTGTGTTCAGCCTCACAACGCCCTTTTAGGCTCAGACTTCTTTTCATTTTACAGAGGAAGAAATTGAGGTTAAGAGAGATTAGGTGGTTTTGACCAAGGTCAAAGCAGTGAGGAGGAAGAAGACCCACCCATCTCTTGCATAAAAGGCTTATCAGGGTAGAATAGGAACTTGATTTTGCAGCCTCAGGCTCCAAGGCATCAGCTAACCTCTGCCTACTAGGAGTGAACAGGCAGCTTTCACAGGCGGAGATTATCTTGCCTCTGCCTGGTGCAGGATGTCATATGCTTTCCCTTGAAACACCTGGTCAAAGACAGGATCCTGGCCTGGACAGACTCCGGGCCTGACTCAGGCTATGTCTTTATATTGAATTTACTCCAGGTCCACTTGGCTGCTCCAGATGGGATGCCACCTAAACTGGAAGTAGTGCAAGCATAGCTGCATGGGTGGGTGCACTAGCACGGGTCAGGCTAATCGGCACACAGTACTAATTAGCTTGCATCGAGCATCCCACAGACATGACAATACTGTTTCTGTTTTAGGAAGCAGAGCAGAGCACCTGAGGGTGCCTTGGCTGGGGATGGCAAGTTTATCACATGGACCTGACTTCGGTCCAGGGATACCGGTGTTTGAAATCTCCTGAGTCCTTGCCATACGCATTGATCACAAGATCCTCCTTTCATTTATTCTAAGCACTTAAGCCATGATAGAAGAAAGATGACCTGGCTTGGGTTCAGCCATGCTTCACTGCATTGAAACACTCCAGGAGCTGTTGCTATTACTATTATGTATTTCCACAAAGTGCCAATCAAGAAGAGAGTCCCATTGCAGAAGGTATGGGAAGAGCCATAAAGACTTAATTATCTGGGCTCAAACTGGCCCATGGAGCCATTCCATCTGGCCTGCTGGGCTACTGGTGGGCTACTGGGAGCTGGGGGCATGGGTAGGTGGCATGGTGACATGGGCTAGGGACAGACATTACACGCACACTGGTTTAAGTCATCAGACACTGGTTGAAACATGTAACAGAACAGATGTTCAGTGCACATAAACCAGTTTGAAAATGGCCGAAACTGGTTTAAGATAAACCTGGTTAACTGACTTGAGTTAAACCGGTTTATGCAATGTCTGTCCCAGACCATGGTAAAGAGTTTTTTGGGGGGTTTTTTCCAGGTTTTCCTTTCCTAGATCATGTTCCAGATCAGCCCAAAGGTCTGGCTGCCACAGGTCTGCATAAAAAGAAACCTCCCAACTAGAGTGAGCTCAGGAAGTCTGCGCAGAGCGAGGCTGGGAAAAGGGTAAAGTTTAGATGAATGTTTCCACCCCGGTTCAGACATCTGCGCTCTGGCCTATTTGCCAGCATCAGCAAGAGGTACCTTGCTTTCCTTGCTTAGCAAGATAAGATCATCTTTGCTTGAGAACCGCGCAGCCCTTTAGCCACATTTGTGTGATGAGATGATGAGATCCTGCCACCGGAGGTAGTGCTGCTTGCTGGTTAGGCCTACGGTATGATGAGGTAGCACTGGCTGCAGAGAGGAGAGAGCAATCCCTATTTCAAACAGCTTTCAGAAAGAGGTGGTGAGGGGGGAAACTGCTGATAGTTGGCTTCTATGACAGAAGAGGATGTTCAGAAATGATTTCAATGAAGGCAGCCTTGTCTACCACTTTTCAGGTACTTATGTAGCCCCTTTATCACAGTGTCTGAACACCTCATGATCCTCATGTTGGTTGTAGCCATGTTGGTCTAAGGAGATAGGCCGACAAGGTTTTTTGGGGGTAAATCTGTTATCTTTCATTAGGCCAACTCAAATAGCTGGAAAAATTCTTCTTTGCAAGCTTTTGGGCAAAGAAGAATTGTTCCATCTATTCTAGTTGGTCTAAAATAGAGGTGAGTTTTCCATCCATTAAAATAGAGTTTTCCATCTATTAAAATAGAGGAGTTTCCCATCTATTGACTCCTCTGTGAAATCCTCTGAAATATGAACTTCCATTTCTACCCAGGAGAACTTTTACCATCTTTTCTCCGATGCCCGATGAAGGGTGTCTGTGCCTGAAAGCTTGCCATTAAAGACCTTTTTTGCAAAAATCGTATCGGCCTAATAAAAGAGATCACCTCGACTACAAGTCCTGATGGTCATGATCTTAAAGACGTTTATTCTCACATCACACCAGCGAGGTAGGGAAGGGCGGCTCTGCTGGTTTCACAGAGTGGGACCGGAGGCACAGTGCAGCTAAGGGACTTACTTGAGGTCTCAGAGCAAGACCATTGTCTCCTCAAGTTCTAGACTAGCACGCCAACCGCTGAGCCATCCTTCCTCTCTGAGCGTGCCTAGTCTCACACAAGCTATAAAAAGCTACTAAGCTGAAGGAGGGCAGGGTAACAAAACAGGAAGAAACAAAAGTCAGGTCCCGCAAGTGGTACATGGGCTTTTGATAACACCTACACAACAGCGACTACAAAATGCCCACCAGACTCTGTGGACAGCCCACTTCTTGAAAAGGTGAAGGCTCAGTCTCCCCAAGAAGTCAAAAGATGTGATCCAAGGAAAGAGAACCCTACCTGACATGGGCATTGGGCATTAGCTTCATACATTTGCTGTCAAAAAAACACACAAAACTAAACGCACTGTTTTGGCAGAAAAGATTTGACCTACCACTTCTGTACACCACCCACCATGCACCCTTACCATCTTGGCTCTAACGTATGGGAAAGCAGACTAATTGTAGCCAGCCTCCCTGCAGTACAGCTCAAATACCAGGATTAGAAATGCAGGCGCTGTAATGAGAAAAATCTCTTTTCATGTAAATCACCCACCCAGTTTTGCAAATGTGCCTAATCCTACTGCATCTGTCTAGGGCCGTTCTGGTCAGTTCGAATGGTTGTAGAGCTAGAGGAGAAACAGCTGGAATTTGCACGGGGAGCTGGTTTTCAACCTGAAGACATTGGAGGGTCATCTATCAGCAGTGACAATATAGCAGGGGTGACCCCCTTTCTTTTTGGATCTTACCTTTGCACGTTTCACTCTCTCTTACAAGGAAAGCGCCGGCTTTGTTACCAGGAGCTAAAAGCAGTCGTTCGGCTTCCTTTCGGCTAATAGTTTTAAAAAACCACCTGGAAAATAAAAGATGCAAAATAATTATAGAAACGCTCTCAGGAAAGGCCAGTCTTTTCCAGGCTCTACCCTTTATGCCATTAACATGCTGAGTGTTATATTTAAGAGTAAATAGCTTTATCCTTTGTAAAAGCCCCTTACCAAAGTATTTTGAATAGATTAGAGTCAGAGCCCTACTCACTTTGAGTTCAAATATCCCCGTGACATCCTTATATGTATGCCCATTGCAGTTTTAATCAGAGGCTTCTGGTTTACTAGGTTATGCAGCTGTAGGTTGTTCAAGAGCTGCCGTGTTATGTCTCAGAAATGGTGGCTTTCCACGGTGAGAGAAGTATTTTTTGTAAGGGTAAAGGCTTCATTTGACAACTTAAAGTTCATTTTCACTCCAAACATAGTCATCTTGGAGCAGTATTCCCTATTTGATATGCATAAGGAATGTCCCTGGAATTAGGAATACCTCTGTAATGGGAATAAATTTGCTGAACTGCTTCTTGTACACGTGACTTTGCAGTTCTTGGGGACTAGAGCTGCTCTAGTATTATAAGGCATTGTATTATAACATGCATGCCAGATTGAAGTGAGGAAAAACACTGAAAGCTGCCCCTTCCCTTTATACCACACTAGAAGCACATTAGACCCCTGCACTAACTCATGAGTATGCAAAGGCTATAGAAATCCAAGAATATAACCCTCTCATTAGAAGGTGCAGCAACAGTAGTAGTTTTTGCATTGGGCTTTTAGCCAAATTCTTATTAGCAATGTCATTGTGTCTGCCTCAAACCTACTCTGCCTTTTGAGCTTCACTTCCTGTCCTAAACTGGCGTGCAGAGTTGGCATAGGCTGCAAAACCTGTCACCTTTTACTCCAGAGGTGCAGTTTGCTACGGACTAAAGAAGACCCTACTGGCGGTCAGGCCTTCAGGCTCCTTCTGGAAGGAAGGGGCTACCTTAAGCAGATACGCTCCTATTAGCATGAACAGGTTATAAGCATTATGCACTTACTTTTCCACTTCCAAGGTATCCACCTGCGCAACGAAGTTACTGGGGACATAACCTTTCCTCCCCGTGGTGAGAGATTTTGCCAGCCACCAGTCACCGTCGCTGTGAACCGAAGAGGAAGTACAGTCACCATGAGATTTAATGAGGATCCTGACTATGGTTGAAGGAACCTCAGTGAGGTTGAGGTTGCATCCGCCTTGCAAATTAGGGGCTTGTAACTGCATTTCTCTTCGTAGGCACAAGCTTTTCCTCTGAAACACTAGACATCAGACCAAGCACCAGACTTAAGGCCAGAAAGGCCTTTCCTCCTCCTGTTATCAGACTGGCCAGAAAGACGGGGAACATTTGTATTGCAGGGATCAGCTGAGCATATGTTAACCCAGGGGTGGGCAAAATATGGCCCGCAGGGCCCCTAAAAAATTAGAAAATTACTATAGATCTGCCCCTGACTGCCTGTCATGTGGCTCTTGATGACTTGCCACAACTCAGTAAGCGGCCCTCATCCCAAAATAATTGCCCGCCCCTGTGTTAACCTAAGACCTTCTCTGCCTCTGGTAGTGCCTGTTTCTTCCCTGCTTTGCTTTTTTTTTTTTACCTGCAGCACAAGGTGGCTTTGCTTTTGTTTCCCGAGGGTGCTTTGGGGCTGTGGCGTGTTCAGGGTCACAGTGCACAATCTCGAGGACTCTTTGGATAAAAGGTTGCCTGCAAATGCAGAAGACTTGACCCATGGCCAAGGAGGTCCAGTCCTCCACTCCTGTATTCAGACATACCTTATTCTATACCTAGTCCTAAAGGCTTTGATTTCTGTAGGCCTCTGCCAGTCTGAAGGTGGCTGAGAAAGCAGTAGTGGCCCCATCATATGCACTTCACTGGACTGTAACCTGGTTAACTCAAGTCACTGGTGTTTTCACTTCCCACCTTCAGTCCCTGGCTCCCAAATGGCGACTGTGGGACTACCTCCATCTTCCCACCACTGCTTCATCACATGAGATACTCTCTCCTTTGGCTGCTCAGAGCCGTGGCTGACCACAGCACTGCCAGAGCAGTGGCTGAAAGCTATTCCTGTCCAGTGGATGCCTACATGTCATGACTTGAATGGTCCTATGAATGGTATGAGTCCTATCCCCAGGCATAGCTGACCTCTTTGGTAGCCATCTCATAGAGAGAGGTCAAGCACTGAACATTATCCATGAACAGCCCCTTCCCCCACAGCTAGGGGTAACTGTAAAGACTTAATGATAAATGCAACATGAAGGCCAGCCTGCATTTGGATTAGCCATTGGCTTCTGTTTCAGGGCTGTTCGAAAAGCTTTTAAAAGAAAATACTATATTTTCTTGCATATAACCTCCACCTTTCCCCCCAAAAACCAACTGGTGGAAACTGAAGAGCACATTACATGCAAGAAATATGGATCCTGCATGGGTCTGGAAATTTGGCAGCAGGGGTATGGTGGCACCTGGGAGCCACAGCAACTGCCACTTCTGCTGGTCCCCTGCCTCCAAAGTTTTGCATTCATGGGGACCCCTCCTGACTGGGTGACATGGCTCCACGTGCTGGATCACACCAGTGCACAGGGTCAGTCTGAAGCTGGATGTGGCACAGGAGATTGAACCCAGTGCATATCTGTCGATGTGCTGCATCATTTTAGTCTGGGGACACCATCCAGTGTGCAGAGCTGCAGCAGGCTTGGGGCAGGCTCAGCCCCCTGAGTGCTGCTACTCAGTTACTACACACTGCCTTTCCAAAACACGGTGTGCATTATACACAAGGGCATGCTATACACGCGAAAATATGGTAAATGAAACCGAACCTGAAACATGCTAGATTCTGCGCTGTCCTCAAGCAGAAGAAAACCCACATCCTTTTAAGGCTAAGATCAGCATGCACTGTTGCACACCGCCATTTGATTACACTTCAGCGACACCCAGAAGCATCCAGATTGGTGTGACATTTGCACTAGGTGTTGCACATAATAAAAGACAGCCCTTCATCCAAAGCAGCAAAGACGTGTTATCCCCCAACCTGGTTTTAGAGAGAAAACCAAGGGGCTTTGTGACTTGGCCATGTTCATGCAGGTCTCTGGCAACGCTCGGTAATGGACTTGTTATCTCAAGAGTCTCAGGCTAATGTCTCCACCCGTTCTTTCGATGACCCCGGTTTTCATAAAGATCCCTCTAGCAGGGGGATGAGGGGGTGCTGCTGACAGCAGTGACTCACCATGAAAGGACCTGAAGTTTCTCTCCCTTGACCATCTCCAAGTCTCGTTCGCTTGTGCAGGTGAAGTCATAAAGGGCGATCACAATGTGGTCCTCTGCAGAGAGAGAAGGTGACACAGTGGGTCCCAGACTGTCCTCCTTGGAGGCAAGGACTGAAGCTTGAGGTGTGTGAAAATCAGTGCTCCCCACACCCTCTGCCCCTTGTCCACAGCCATTGTGAACAACCCCTCTGTCCTCTCAATGATTTCAGACCATCAAGTGAATCTTCCCTTGGCTCTCGAGACTACATAGACATTTTGCTGCGACTTGCTACAAAGCACTTGAGGGGGCCAGCCTTTCTCTTCAGTCCCTTCAACTCAGATTCTCCTCCAGGCTTTCATTGCCTCCTGCCTGGACTTTGACAGGTTCCCCCTTTCTAAGTTGAATAAATGCCATTTTTCTCCACTCAAGAGGCTCAACCCCGTGGCCCTGGGGCTGTAATCCCCTCCTGACTGCCACTGATTTCAGTGGGGTTTAGAGGAAGCCCTTGGACCTGTTAAGAGCCAGAGGTGGTAAGTGGGCCTGATTTTCCACCAATCTCATATGTATTCAGGAGCTGGATCGACAGGAAAAGCCTAGTGCACTATTTGGTTCCTAGCAGAGGAGACGTGACCAGGGACAGATGGAGGATTTGGCAGAGGTGGATGCAGGAGCAATCCGCCAGCGAAGGCAGGCTGCACTGCGGGAGTTTCCGAGGACTTTTTTTAAAGTCCCCAAAGCAGATAAGAAACCTCCCCTTTCCCCTCCATGCTCAAAGACATTCTCCATCCCCTCGCCTTCTCCCCCTCCCTTTTTCCCCTTCCCCACCTGCCACTGCTGCTTTCCTCGCAGTCCCACGGGTGGAGGAAGCTTAAAGGCTGCCCCAGCCTGCCTTCAGCCCACTTCACTTCAGGTTGTGTGGGGGCTGGTTCGGTGACAGCACCCCATTCCCCACCTCTGCAACAATAGGCAGAGGTGGGGAATAGGATCCCCCAACCTGCTCAGTCCCCTGGAAGAAGGTGTGAGGAGGAGAGACCCCTCTGCCATGTCTGCTGCTGTCTCCAGCTGAGCCCAGTCCTAGCAGCTTTGACGATTGTCTGCCTCTGGGACAACGGGGAAAGCAGCAGTGGGGGGAGTGGGAGGGAAGGGGAGAGAAGAGGATGTGTCTTTGGGCATGGAGGGGAAGAAGGGGGTTTCTTACCTGTTTTGGGGACTTAAAATTAAGTCCCATAGGCTCCCCAGATGCGGCACAGTCCAATCTGAAAGAAAGGTGCCGCCGCACCATTGCACCCCCTCTGGGACTGCCCCCAGACTCGATATAGTAATAATGCCCTGCAGGGTGGCTCCTTTATCAATGAAACACATGGGGCTGCTTAACTGCTTTGTTTCCATGCCCCATGCCAACTATACCACTGCTTCCTTATCATGAGCGTATAACCGGTCATGTGCGCGCTGGGTGGCTGCAGCTATTGAAGCAGAAAGGATCGCTGCTCTCATGACATCTTGGGCAAATCAAGCCTTACAAGGATCATCAGTCAAAGTTTTTAGCCTGTGTGCGGCCTCGTGAATGCAGCACAAGTGATAGGTGGGCTATATTTAGGAGGCTCTCAAGACCCCTCTCTGACCTTATCAAATAATGCCACCAGTGAGCAACCCAGGCTCACCCGTTTCACTGCAAGATAATACGTCTCTGGAACAATGCACGTTTTGTGTGCGCAGGGCCTGGCTGCTTTCTATTTGAGATTGATTGGAGATGTCGCACATGCAGGGGAGGGCGGGGGGAAAAGCAAGTCTTTGTAAACCAGAGGCCAGAGCAGCTTCCTCCAGCTTGTCTGCTGGGGGGTGGGACTTGGAGGTGGATAGGTAGACCCAAATGACTCTCAGCTTCATTCGGGCTGCCTGAGTGGGCTAGAGAGAGCTTGGAAACTTAATCATGCGTGCCTGTGGACCTCAAAAACACTCTCTGTGGGTGGATGCTGTAAGTGTCTCCTAACGTCTGTGAGATAACATTATTACATATTCTCCCTGCTTTATGCATAATCAGGATTGTGTCAGATCAGGTTCCCCTGCTCCACAATTTACAGGACACGGTACTGCCTGTGATTCTTCATGCCAAGTGCCAGGAGGCCGTTAAAGAATCTGGCAACCTCTAGGGTGTGAATAGCTTCGGGCAGAGGAGGTACTAGTTTTACCCCTGCTGCAAGAAATGCCACCAAAAAGGTTGAGAGACTGAAGTGCGCTCCACGACAGGGTGGACTGGGCTCTGTAACTCTGGTCAGCAGCCAGCCTAGGAGTGGAGCCCCGATAGACAGAGAAATGCAGGATTTCCTTTACTTTGGCAGCTCCTGCAGCCAAGCAGGATCTGGAACCAGCTTCCAAGGGAAGTGGTGCTGCCTCCTACCTTAGGGGTCTTTAAAAGGAGGCTTGATTGCTACCTAGCTGGTGTCATATGAGCTTAACTTAGTGGGAATCATATGAGCCCAGTATTCATTCCTGCCCATGGCAGGGGGTCGGACTTGATGATCTGCTCAGGTCCCCCCTGACCCTACGTCTATGAACCTGTGAATCTGTGAATCATACATACGAGCCCCTGCCTTTCCTTTGGATTAAACCAGCAAGGCCCAAAGGGGAGCACTGGTATGCAGGCACCTAATGTCTCCCACTACCAGGGCCTTTGCATCCTAGAGAGGTCACTCCAGCTTCACTTTATCTTTCAAATGAGGATTCAACACAGGAGGTAACAGGTGTGAATTATAAGTCCCATTCGTTTGGTGAAGAGAGAAAGGCTACGGGTTGCCTTTGCCAGTAAAAGAAATTATTTTATCTCATTGATCAGCTAGCTATTACTTGTCTGAAAGCTGGGTGGCCCTGAGCCAGTACCCCACCCCACATTCAGGACTGTTGGATATTCATTTCCCATGGGATAAGTCAGGAATTGACTGTCATGCAAGAATTTGACTCTGTCACAGATGTTTAATGAGCTGATGCAGAAAATCAGCACACATCTCCTGTCTTGTGAGACAGACAGATGCCTATGTCAGCCAATACATAATGAGTAGCACCGGTGCAAAGGTCTGCTTGTTGAAATAGTTGGACTTATCCTTTAACTCCGGCTCCATTGGGCACTGGAAGACTTTGCAAATCTCCCAGAATCCACAGCTTCAGAGAACTGTGCAACACCCTGGGCAATAATGATGAGTCCTGTGTAGACCAGGAGTGGGCACCCTCTGACACGAATGCCACAAGTGGCCCAGGCAGCCTGTGTGTGTGGCACGTGGAAGATAACAGAGGAAGCAGGGCACACAGCTGTCGATAAGGCAGGAAGCAGAAATCAGAACAGCAGATGCAGCAGTGATCACAGGACCGGGAGCAGAAAGCAGTGCAGTAGACTGGGCAGAAAAAGGAGACTGGAGTGGCACTCAGGAAGGGTGTAGGGCGAATCTGTGGCATGCCTGCCAAAAAGGTTACCCCGCTTTGGTTTAGACAGTGGTAGCATGGATGTGAGGCAAGGGGTGGCTGGGTGAGGCTGGACACACTGAACTATTGTTGCTTATCACTAGTGGTTGCTTATCACTAATCACTGTTGCAAATTACTAATATCTTCATCAGTGATTTGGATGATGGGATGGAGTGTGTGGTAAGTAAATTTGCAGCTGACATCAAGTTGGTGTGTTTGCAGACACTCCAGAGGGTAGGGCTAGGATCCAGGATGACCTGGACAGACTGGACAAATCATCCAGAATCAATCAAATATGATTTCAGAAGGACAAATGCAAAGTCCTGAACTTGGGACAGAATCATTGCATGCACAAATACAGACCGGGGAATGACTGGCGAGGCTACAGCATTGCAGAGAAAGACCTGGGGTTATGGTAGACCAACGGTTCCCAAACTCTGACAGATCGTGCACCACCAATTTAAAATGATACGACCTTAAGTACCACCAGCAATGTTTTCAGTTCACTCTTAAGTACCACCAGCAAATTTTTGTCATAGAAAGTGATTATAATACATTTGTTAACATGTACCACTGACAGGTTGTATGCGTACCACTGGTGGTACCCATACCACAGTTTGGGAACTGCTGCGGTGGACCCAAAGTGGAATATGAGCCAACAGGGTGCTCTTGTTGCAATAAAAGTGAGCAGCATCCTGGGCTGTATTAATTTGATTGTCACTTGTAAACCAAGGGAAGTAACTCTTCCATTGTATTTGGCACTGGTGAGTTTTAGGCCCCCCACATTTCAAGAAGGACATGGACAGTTTGGCAGGAGTCCGGTGCAGAGCAAGAAAAATGATTAGGGGTCTGGGAGGCAAGACTTATGAGGAAAGGTTGAAAGAATGAGGGCTATTTAGTCTGGAGAAGAGAAAACCGAGGCGGGATTTGACAACAGCCCTCAAATTCCTGGAGGATGATTACAGAGAGGATAGAGATGGGTTTTCTTTGTGACCACAGAAGACAGGATAGGAGTAAAAGCCTCAAGCTTCATCAGAGGAAATGGGGATCAGAGATTAGGAGGAACTTTCTGACTACGAGGGTGCTCAGGCACTGGAGCAAGTTGTCTGGAGAAGTGGAATATCCATCCTTAGAAGCTGTCAAGAGCAGGCTGGACAGACACTTGTCTGGGATGGGTTAGGCAGGGATGGCTCAGCCTTGAGGTGGGGGCTGAACTAGATCATTTTGTGTGGTCCTTTCTAGCTCTACTTTCCTATGACTTCTATGATTTTACAAGGGTTAAATAACACTGTCCTTTATCATGCAAGCCCTTTTTCCATGAGGGATTCTTTTGATTCATTCAATTATTTTCTTGCAGTATAAACAACCTGATATGCCTTAGTACTGCTTTCCCTCCCTCCAGAGCAGGGGTGGGCAAAATGCGGCCCGTGGGCCAGATGCGGCCCACCAGGCCATTGTATCTGGTCCGTGGGGCCCCTAAAAAAATTAGAAAATTAATATACATCTGCCCCTGGCTGCCTGTCATGTGGCCCTTAATGGCTTGCCACAACTCAGTAAGCGGTCCTCTGCCCGAAATAATTGCTCGCCCCTGCTCCAGAGGGTGGAAGACAACGTGTCAGTCTAATGCAATGCTGGATGTCACTTGGAAGATCCCGAACCAGGCTGATCACACAGGTTGTGCCAAACCTGTTCTTCTCCTCTTCCTCCTCCTCCTACTAGTACTCCTCCTCCTCCTCCTACTACTACTACTATTACTACTACTACTGCTACTGTTGTCAACCAAATGAGCATCATTTGCAGGAATTGCTGGCTTTCCTTCATAAGTTTTGATTCCTTTTGTTCACCAAAAAAATCAAAACTTGGTATCCAGTTTGTTTGTTTGTTTTGATTACTTTTGGGTTACAATTTTGTCAGTTCGGCCAAAAAAGAATTTTTTTTTCAATGGCAGAATCACAGATGTTGGGCTGGAAGGGACAGGTCATCAAGTTCAACCCCGTGCTCAAGGCAGGATCTTCCCTATCTAAACCATCCCGTACAAATCCTTGCCTAACTTATTCCTAAAATTATATTCAATCAACCCTGTGGCATAACTACAAGGAAAATGGCTCCAAAGCACCTGAGTCTGCCACAGGTAAAGCAGGGCTGCCAGTGTCCCGTTGCTGCAGGGGTGTTAACATGCCCTTGAGAGAGCCAAGGAAGAAGGCCACGTCCATGCTGCAGAAAAAGGAAGAAACCCCCATAGTCCACATCAACCTGACCATAGGGTAACATTTCTTCAAATATGGCAATAGGTCTGACCCTAAATGAAGGTGCCAGACCCTCTAGCCAGGAACCTGCAGGTTTTAGCAGAGAAGATTTTGTAAATGTGAAGAATGGTCACCCTTAAGGGTAAAAAGAGAAGGCAAAGACCAAGAAACCAAATTTATTCTTGTTTGTTTGTTTGTTTTTTAAATAATGTGATTTTATAGCAAATATCAAGATTTTTAATTTTTTTGTTGGCCCAAATCATATTTATGAATTGGGGACTGGCAACACTGGGACAATTGGGACTGGCAGCACTGCCAATAAATATCATTCAGGTCTTGTTTCAAAGGTTCACTCATCTGCATTTTGTGCCTCCTGGCTTAATTCACATCCATCCTCTTGTTTGACTGGAATAAACAAACAGCCGACATTATTCCCAAATGAGCTGTCAACCCACGTGGTAGCAAAATGGGAGGGAGCCAAAGTCACTTTGGCTGAAAACGCCTAAACCTAGTCTGTTGGCTGGGGAAGGGGAATCTCGCCTTAAATCTCCCTTCAAATCTAGAAGAGACACGCAACTGCTCCCAGTCTTGTTTTTGAGCATGGAAATGGTTCCTCAATTTCTATTTGAAAGCTTTCTTCATTTCACTGAGAAGCTTTGAACTTCTGCCTTCTGGTCCGAAGTAGAAGTAAAAAGGCCAGCTCTGAGGAAAGCTGGGTTCTGGGTTTCGGGTTGGGCTGGAAACAGGATTTCCCGTGAAAATTGGTGTCCAAGCTTTTCAGCCCCCATTTCCCCCAGAATTGAGCATAGAGCAGGCTGGGGATATTCCATTATTATTTCTTTTACATGGAAAGTGTGCTTTCTGCAAAATTTAAATTCGACATGTGAACGCCCTGTCTCCCGCGGCACTTGAATGACCACCCTACGGCGACCCCGGAGCAACTCAGGGAGGCAGGACACACGCTCCTGTCAAATCAACTTGAAACAGAACGATTCACTGTTTCCAAACCGAGACGTGCGGCAACAGTTGGTGGTATGGTTAGGGTTTGTCACTCCTCACTCTGATTCAGCACGAAACCACGGGCAAATTGAAATCAATCCAAGGGTGTCCCTTGACAATACTAACCCTGCTGAATCAATGGTGCTGGCTTACAATCACACCTCCATTTAACTTGGTACCGCTTTGCATAGTTGTCCCCCTCTCAATAGACACTGGGGTGAAGGGGTGAGGCCCCCTTGGTTCCCAAAGATATTGCCACGAGAGTAATTTTATGCACACCCATTCTCATGCACAAATTATTCTCAAAGGTCAAGGTCTGAAGAGATTGGGCCTGCCAGAGATAGCAGCACTATTTGATATTCCCTCTCTACCTTGAACCTTTCCCTCTGTAAAGGCTGAATGTTAGACGGCCACATGTGGCTAATGTTGCTGCATCTGGAGGCCAAACTCACCTACACACCAGGGGTTTCCTCCATACCTGTTTCCTCCCCCTGCACAACCTCCCTGTGCACTGCCTCCTTCCCCCCTCTATTGCAGAGGTTCCCTATACCCCATCCCCAAATATGCATGGACTCTATGTGTTTCTTGCTCCCATGCCCACCAGTCCCTCTCCTCTCCACCATAACCAGTTTCTGTGCACCCTTCCTGCCCCCTCCCTATACCAGCACCCCCATTCTCCTCCCCTACCCCTAGGGAAGAGGCTCTATGTATGCCCTTGTCTCCCTTTCCCATGTCCCCCCTTCCCCACTCTTCTTTTCCACCCTGGGAGGGACCTCTTTTGTGGTGTCAACATTTTAAACTCTGCTGGGATGACGGGTCGAGGTAAATGGCAAAGTATTGTTATACCTAATTGGCTATAGGATGCTATTCACCATTCTTTGATCTTCCAACCATTACACAAATGGCCAAAGTAGCTAGGGCCTCCATGTGTGTCCTTTTGGTTTTTATAAAAATCACTGCATCCCACACAGTTCTGCCTCCTGCTAGCGCTTAGGGATGTTTCTCCTGGACTGCTGAGAGGCCGTAGGATGAGGCATTCAAAAGTTCAGGCAGACCCACGAGGGATGTGTACATGTGCATTAATGTGCTTTAGTTAATGCACATTAAATCTAGTACCTCCGGGCATTTATACACATATGTTTGTCTGCTCCAACCCACCCGAAATCCAGCATGTTGGAGCAGACTCAATTAACTGAGTCTATGGAGCATGCAAACTGATGCGCCTGGTGCTGTATCGCACGGTGAAATGCATGTCAGTGCTAAGAAAATAGCAGCGGCGTGCTTTAAAACTAAAACCCCTTTGATGTGTTTTAGTTCAAAAGTGTGCTGCTGCCATTTTCTCAGCGCTGACGCGCATGTCACCATTTATACAGACGCATACGATGCAGCACTGAGTGCCTTTAAAAGCTCCCGGCACTGTGTTGCATGCATGTGTGCATACACCCTCTATTACGAGGTACTAGGACAATGTGCACTAAGCTGTCTTAATGCCCATTAACTAAAGAACACAGTTTTTTAGTGATGCTTAGTGTGTATTAGCCTATTTGAATATGTATTAAATAATAGCACTTTTTTTTAGTGATGCTTTAATGCACATTAAAATAAGCTAATGCACATGAAAGTGCACATGTAGATGTGCCCTGAATGTGTATCGGGGTTGAATGTCAGGCCACTTTGTTTCGCTCAGCCAATTCACCGAGGATGTTTTTTCCTGGATTATTTTGGACTGGATTTTTGAGTGCATTTATAATTGGCCATGACCAATATTTACTGATGTGAAAAAGACTCCTTTGAAGTGTAACCGGACAGGAGCTTCTGCATGAAAAGTATTAAAAATAAATAAGCCCCAAGCTCCTTTGAGACTCTACTCTTGGCTCTCCAGGGACAGCACTTGGTGCTGCAAGGACACAGGGGAGGGAAAAGGAAAGAGCGAAACAAATCTGAGAGTCTTACCTTGGGCTGATGACTGGCTGAAATGTGAGGCGCAATTCCTGGGTCTGACCTTTGGCAGGAACATAAAAATAAAGCCCACGTGTTAATCTGGTGTGCTAGGCAAACGATCTGCTTTCTGCGCTGATTCTAAACCATTGCAATCTTTCCAGCAGCTTTAGTGGTCTTTATCCCTGTCTGTCTTTTTCTGTTTTCAGCATATGATCTGCCCTTAGCTTGCTTGTCTGCATTTGCAAATAGCTACTATCTCCCTCTCCACCAGCGCAGGGGTTTATTTGATGAGGCTGGAGTTACCGGCTCAACGGGGTTTCAAAATGCTGCCGTACGATATAATCCAGTTCACTGTTGCTTGATCCCTGTTAAGCGGTGCATGATACAGCAGACAAGCCCACCGAGAAATTGCAAAGGCAATATTACTCCGGGAAGAAAAAGCAGGATGCTATTTGCCATAAATGTTCTTCGCTCGTGAATGCAAGGACGCCAAGTAGAAATGTGCTGCGACAAACTCTTGGGGTTAAGACCACGCCGTGGGGATCATGCTTCCTGGCTTTGCATTTGGAAAAGGCCTGAGGCAGGGGTGGATCCGAGGGCAAGGCAGTGATGCTGTTGAACCCCCCCCAACTTCTGTTCCTGGTCCACCTGAAGTTTAAAACCGACTGCCCGGCAGTGGAGCAGCGGTGAAGGAGTCAATTGACTTGTGCCTGTTATAACCTACTAGATTCCTTCTAAACTCTTCATCCCACAGGCCTTAACAACCCTCTCTCCCTCTTAATGGTCTTGATGCTTTACTAATCAAGCTCGTCTTTCTTCTGGCATCCTGCTGCTGTCTGTTGGCTGCTCCTGGTAATGTCACTCTTATTTCATAGCCTGGCAAACTGTTTTATCTCCAACTAGAAACGTTCATTCTGGGGTGGAAATGTTAACTCAGGTGACTATTAACTTGAGTGTGGAAATAACTTTCAGTGGGGCATTGAATGCATCATTAAGATGCTCAAAAAAGCTAATTCTTCTTCCATGAATCCAAAAAAGGAGCCATACGTTTAATTCTAATGACCACAGGACTAATGAAACATCATCTTTTTTTTTTTTTTTTTGCCTGATTTGTTGTGTTTTTATATATAATATATAACACAGCAAATTGATGTGCTTTCCAATAAAGTTCTATTTGCTTTGGCTTTGATCTTAAAGAGATGAATATATCCCAGGCCTCTAGCACATTAGTAAAGCTCCTAGTTTCTTTTGACCTAGAGAAAAATGGGTTGTGTTACATGTGAGGATGCACCACACCATCTGCATCCTCCTTTTCAAAATCCCAGATCTGCCCATGGCCCTGGAGCTGGGAAGAAGTCGACTTCCATGAAACGTCTCCTACAGACAGGGTGACTTGTAGGTTGTAGTGCTTACAGGCTCATGGGTTGGAGTCATTTACACCCATGCAATGAAGGTGGGTGTACAAATAAACTTCCTCCAGTTCCTAGGATTTGCCACCCCACTGTACATTCTTTGCACAGGCATCCACGGTAATAGTACTCATGGTAATAACCAAACCCATCATATGTCCCCTCAATACAATGCAGAATAGCAACAAGGGACCCTCGAGCACATTGGCGGTTCCATTATTCCATGCATCCCTGGGCTTTTTATCGTGCTGGATATCAAACACATGCTGAGAAGCAGAGCATCTAACTAGGGCAGAGCGGAGACATTTTACAGATGAGGAACTGAGTCAGAGATCGATTGCATGATGTACCCAAGGTTGCATAACCCAGATCTCTTGAGTCTCATCCCAGAGCCTTAGCTCAAGACCAGTCTTCCTGAAAGACTGGAGATGCTTTCCCAGGGCTCACTCGGGGCTTTTTAGCCTGTTAGTTTTGCAGGAGCGGGCTGCTGGTAGCTACTGGTACGCAGCCGTTCTGGGAACAGGGCCACTTTGCATCTTGCTGCTGATTTTGATGCCTAGCTTTGTGCCCCTGCGTTTGAGCATTTTGTCCTTGTTCTCTCTGCATCTTGCTTTTGCTTTCATCAAAGTTTCCACTGTGGTTTCTGAGTTGACACTGCCTGTGTGCCATTCTGCTAGCTGGGCTGGGGCGAGCTCATGGCAATGGCCACACCGAAGTGGTCTGGATGCGGCCACCCCGCAGGAAAAGCTCTGTCTGAATGTCACACAACAGAAACCACCACAAGCCTGAGGCGTTCTTCACTCGGGCCCTCTATTCTATTTAGAGATCCAGACCTCATTGTCTCTGCAGCCTATGAGGTGCTAACAAATGATTGGGCCAGACTCAGCAGACCTTCCTTTGGCCGCTGCAAGGGCTCACTGCCATGATGCCATTTTAGCCTTACAGTATCTCTTGCAGGTAGGAGAACATTGCACCCATTTTACAGACAGAGGTGAGAGGCAGGTAACTGACTGCAACTCCACCCATTTTACAGACAGAGGTGAGAGGCAGGGAACTGACTGCAGCTAGGTGCCTGAGTCAGAAGGGCATTTGCTCACCCACTAGATCATCCTTCCCACCCTTTACCTGTTAGGTAATAAAAGGTAAGGAAATAAAAGGGCTCGAGGTATCATGGGCACATGCAAGCACTCCCTCATTTCACACCCAACTGTGCTGGTAGGGCTACTCAAACCGTGGACATAGAGCTGCTCACTTACCGGGGGCGGTGGTGGAGTCTTCTTCTTAGAAAACACATGATGCCTTTGCTTATTCATGCCGTCGCAATGCTCCTTGGGCATATGCTGGTTTTTGCTCCCAAGCAAACCCATCCTGTGAGGGAAAAGGCAGAAGATCATGTCATGACACCACTCCTAGAGGAAAGAAGGCAGAACCAGCAGATGGGAAGAAATGAGAGCATAGGGAGTGGCGGGGAAAGCAGAGCTCAGTGGGTGCAATGGAGTTTGGGCCAAAGGGTTTCAGGGCGTTTCTGTGTGGTTGCATCTCATGAGTTGCATCTGTGCCGCGCTCAGGAGAGCTGCATCTGAGCGCAGCAGTTCACACGGGTACCACGACCTGCTTCGCCACAGCAGCGCAGCCCCGCCTGAGACTCTGGGAAAGCTCGCATTAGCGGAAGCCCCTGCCACCGCAGCTCTCCTGCTATCGGTACCCAGACAAGTGCCTTTACAGCTACCTTGCATAAATCTGCACAAGCTGCAATCGCATCTGGGGACTGCAGCATACATCAGCTCACAGGGACTCAAGCAAGGTTGTGCAAGGGAAACTGAGGCAGAGCAAGGACCTGGAGATGAACCCCCCAGGGGCTGGTAGTAATGGCCTGAACACTGGACCAGCTTTCCTCTAGTCCTCCTCCTCTTCAGAGGCAACAGGGGGATTTGGGTGGACACAGAAAAGATTTCAACCAGAGCTAGCTGTGCTGAAAGAGTTTAGTGCTTAGGCTGAAAATTTTCACAGGACAAGTTTGGACTGGTTAAAATTGTCTGCATTGTCCAGTTCTGCTTTAAAACCCCCTCACCCACCCAAGCATTTCTTACTGGGAGCTGAAGGGTTTCACCCCAAGTCATGTGATGATGCTTTTAAGAAGGCAATTCCCAGGCTGTAAGATCCACCTCTTGATTTTTGAGCTGCATTTGCAACTGGTTGTGATCATTACAGTGCTGTGACTCTTCCAAAATTCAAAGAGGAATGGACATTAGCCCTGCAGATGCCTTTGCTGGCAGACTCCAGCAAGATCACAGATTCAATGTGAAATGCTGCTTCATGGCTCTGAGCTTCCAACATCACCCCATGCTTCAAGTTCAATCTCATTTTGCTTCTCTACAGCCCCACATCTTCCTATTCCCCATCCCCACAAGACCTAGGTACCCCCAGACCCACACTGGGGAAGATCGAGGTGTAGCTATGCTTGTGTTCTGCTACGGGTATTTCCCATGCTTCTGGGCTTTTCTGGTCCCACCTCCCCTGCCTTTTCTGCATGGGCAACTGGTGCCTCCCGAGTCCGGGGGGGGCACCAGATCGCTGATGTGGGGGTAGGGGGGATCCAGGGGGTGCACAGCTGATCTCAGGGGGTGCGCATGCACCTGCGTGCACCCGCTACACGTCGCCACTGCTTTTCTGCTACATGTTAAGCCTTGCTAGAGACATGGGATGTTGGTTATAGCCAAGGCTGCAGACTTTGACTGGGTTGTGCCAATGCTCCTGCTGGGACCAAAGCCAGAGGTTCTTGGCTAGAGGGTCTTGCCCCTCCGCTCAGGGCCAGACCGATGCTGTATTTAGGGTCAGGAAGGAATTGTACCCCATGGTATGGACGGCGAGGGGTTTTGCCTTTCTCTGTAGCAGGGGGCATGGCCCGCTACCCGGGAACTCTTGGGCATGTATTGACGATATTTCATAGAAGCGGGAGGTTGACTGCCACGGTCCCGCTGCTTTACCTGTGGCAGGTTAGGGTGTTAGGTATGTGTTATGTTAGGGTTGATGGTCATCTTATGCAGAGTTTAGATTATGGTTTGGACGGGATGGCTTGGATAAGGCTGATCCTGCCTCAAGCAGGGCCTGGGACTAGATGTGACCCCTGGAGGTCCCTTCCAACCTGACTCCTCTGTGATTCCCTGACTCTAGGATAGCGGTTCCCAAACTCTGACAGATTGCACACCACCATTTAAAATGATACGGCCTTCAGTTTCTGAGGCAGGGGAGTGCTCTGCCCATCTCATGCACCTGTCCCAATCAGATGCTCTTCTCCAGGCAATGGGCAAAGGCAACAGCTGCCAATCAAAGGGGAGGTGGCTGGAGGCTTTCCTATCACTTCCAGCCCATGCTGCTGCTCACAGCGTGATCAATCCATGGACAGCGGTGGGGCTAATGCAAATACAGTGTCCCCCAAGGGAGCAGGAATCACACAGCCTTGTCTTCCACATAAAGACATCACTTGTCACGTGGTGGTCTCCTCTGGGATAATGCTTGGCTGCAGTCGTATATCTAGGGCAAGGTGAGTGCGGTATTAACCCCAGATGCTGATTTAGAGGTGTTCTCCACCCCTGTTCTCCAGCAATTGTCATCCCTTGCTCTTCTTTCTAGCACTTGACAGCATCTCTGCCTAGGGTGATGATTCTCAACCAGGTGCTGCGGCACCCTGGGGTGCTGCGAGATTGTTTCAAGGATGCCACAGAGTGCAGGCACTATGAGTGTGCATGCATGATTTGCACACCGAGATCCAGTGATTTCAAATAGAAATGTATAGTGGTAAACTATTCTGACTTGTCAGGGGCTTTCTGAGTTCTTTGCAAGGAAGAATTGCTCTAGTATTTTTGTGTGGTCACAAAACAAGTGAAAAGTAAGAGCTGGCCTTTTCTAAGGGCAGCTTTGGGTCTAACAAGGGGGCCTTAATTCTACAAAGGTTGAGAGCCACTGGCCTAAGGTACCGAAATTGCAAGTTATGCCTCTGCCTGGCTGTAGTTTAACAGTGCAGTGCAGCATCCTGCTGCTGCCGAGACCCAAAGGTAAAGGATTTCCAGTGAAAAGGGGAGTTTCCAGTTAGCCGAGTGTAAAGAGCAGAATGGATGAGGCCAGCTGCTCTGCCCTTGTCACTAAAGCCATGCAGGATCTGACCTGTGCATAAGTACTCAGGAGGAGACTTCTGCAGACTCGCCCCTATCTAGACTGCCAGGGAGCTCCCAACACGTGTGTTTTTTTAAAAAGCTTGTTTGGGAAGAGTCACCTTCAAATGGAAGTGTTGCAACCCAAAATGTTGGGGGCAAAAACCTAAACCTCTAGAACCGTTTCTCACGGAATTAAATATGTTGTTTGCATTTTGCATACTTTTTTTTACAATACAAATCACAGCCAATTTCAAAGAGAAAAGTGACTTTGAATAGAAAGCTCATGTTCCAACTTGATCAGAATCCCATCCCAAATATTTGGTGGAATTGCAATGAATTGATGATGCTCTGGTTCTCCTAAATCTGCATTGATTCACTAATAAAAGTGCAGCCCTCCAAAACTGGCTGAGCTCCAGCAGGGACTTAACTTTCCAGATGATCTGCTCAACAGCACCAAGCCCCTTCACACCACCGTAACTTCTGATTTGGTTGGGAAAACTAAATCAGCCACTTGCTGCAGCCCCTTCCTTTGAATTGGGCATCTGGTCTCCCATCTAGGTACTGACCAGATCCATCCAGGCTGAGCAGAGCCAGTTGATTATTAGTAACAAACCACTGATTTATTGAATTTGTCACTTCTTTCCATCTGCATATTTGCCCATGAACAGATAGGGATTTCCCTGCATTTGCCTACTATACGAGCATGACAGTATGTTTTAGCCACTGTTTGCTGCTTATACCTAAGTGAGCATGTGGCATTCGGGATTTACTGTTCCAGGTGTATGGAAGCTGCAGCTCATTGCTCCTGATCCTTAGATAGATGGTGGATGAGTTGTATTTAGCTTAAAACCATTTATTTTTTCTCCATGCTCCACCTTCAACCTGCCAGTCTCTAAAAGACATGACCCACTGAAGGTTCATATACGGTCCCTATTGCTGTGGCATCTAAGGACCTCACCTTCTTTAAGAGCACTCATTCTCACTGCACTCCTGGGAGGTAGGGAAAAACTATTAGGTGCATTGGACAAAAGGGAAACTGAGGCACAGAGTTGCAGTGACTCATCTCTAGCACGGCAAAGCAAGGACTTGAACCCACAGAGGATACAGTCGAGGCATCTGGCCTACATATCACCCTACCCTTCCTGTCCACATGTAAATGCACCAGTCAAGGGTTGGCAATATTGCAAGCAAGCGGGTACATTTGCACAACTACCAGTTCCTGCTCAAGCGCTGGTGCCAACAGAAACGTTTCTCATGAAACTACGTAGAGGAGCGAAGCAGCCAAAATGGGAAATGGAATTTATGAAATATCTGCAAATAAATCCCCCTTGCTCTCTGCCCACTTCTGCTGCTTCGTTTGTGAGATGTAAAGGAGGTCACGCATCAGCGTGGGACTGCTGCAGGTCTACATTAGACCTGCTCCTATATAGATCACACATGCTGGATGCGTGCTGTGGCCTGGACAAGCAGCGAGGTTGGTCCTGTACATGGATGAGTATTGCCCACACTCCTAAGACAGATCCTACCACATACTGGGAAGTCACCCATCTCAGCGTCAGAGCTGGTCAGGATTTTTTCTACCCGAGTTTATTTTGTCCCAAAAATGTAGGGTAGTAGGAAATTGCTTTTGTTTGAAAGAGAAATGGTTGTTGCTTTTTGTTTTTTTTTAATATCAGAAATCAGCACATCTATTTTTTTTCAATTTTCCCCCTTTTCTGATTACATACTCTGCCCCCCCACCCTTCTTCCCCTGGGAAAGGGAGAGGGGAATAAATAGAAACAAGAAAGAGAATGAGGGAAAGCATGTGTTGAAAGTGTGTATAAAAAGAAAAATTATAAACCCAAAATATTGTTTATAACTGGACGGTTCGTGTTTAGAAAGACTGAAACACAATTTTGAAAAAGAACGATAAAAGTTTGGTTATGCTTTTCAACTGGTTTATTATAAAACAGTTTGAACATCTCTCTCCTGGTTTGGTTTTTTAATTTCCCCTTCTCGTTTTTTCTAATGAAAAAAAATAGGGGGGAATACCAATTAAAGAAAACCTTAAAGAGAGGAAAAATCCTTTCTCTCACTTTTAGCTTCTTTCATTTCTTGGAGATCTCAGAATAGCAGAGATGCCCTTAATGCTTGAAGAAGGGCACTGGTGCCCAAAAGCTTGGAAATATTTTTTTTGCAATTACTCAGTTGGTCTAATAAAAGATATTGCATCT